TCCTCTCTGCATTTAGGCTTGGATAAATACAGGTTGGGAAGAACCAGCATTTTAAGCACTTACTATGTACTAGGAAAGGTGTTTTCATTAATATTGCTGGTTTTAATCTTAAAACATCAGTTAGAGACAGGAACTGTCACTCACAGGGAGTCAGGCTAAGAAGTCAAACGAAAGAACACCAAAGGAGCAAGAGTCTACCTGGAGCTGGATGCATCTGCTCCTGAAGCCAACTTCCTGTTTTCCCACAGGCCCAGGTGTTTTAGATTCTCTGCCAGGCAGAGAAACTGCAGCAACTTGAAAGCTGGATTCTGCTGCCAAACTCAGCTATCCACCGAGCATGCACAGATACTGAGAAGCCAATTCAGAGGAAGGAACATCCACACAACCCTCAAGTTTGCATCAAGTCAAGGGAGCTGATATTTTTGCAGAGTGGTCAAAGCCACATTTGACCTTGTTTACATTTCTTCCACATCAGGCCAGGTCACAGGGCTAGTTCCTGTTCAGGACTAATTCTTCCAGGAATGGCTCCAACTTAACACATGGATGCCAAGAGCCCCCAAAGGGCCTTTACCTGCTGAAGGCCCCGTATGCCTCAGACACAGTGGTAATTTGAGCCTCTGCAATTGCCATACCCAGGGAATGCTACCCTGCTTCCTTGGAATGCATTTTGTGTGTCCACTGACCCTTGGTCAGGACTTTGGGCTGCCGATTTTCAGCTGGAACTTGAAGGTAAGAATATGGCTTAAAAGAAATCCTCAACTCACTGATTTATTTTTCAAATTTTTATGTAGGTGCTGCTATATTGATATAAATAGAAGTGCTTAACTAAAGCCAGAGAATATTTTAAGGAACCTAAAAAATAAAAGTTATTTATAACCAACAAATACCAGCTTAACAATGTAAGTCTAGAAATTCAGGAAGCTGAGTCAAAAATCTCCAAAATCCCTGTCCCATAATATCATCTCTCCTTCCCACCTGGATCTCTCCCCTACATGCTGAGCCTACAAAGGGGACTAGACCAGGTAGGTCCCTGGGCTTCAGGATGGCTAGAAATAAAAAGAAGTAATTGTAGGACAGTGGAGTAAGAGCTATAAAATCTACACACAAAATGCTACAAGATCCCATGAGAAGGGACAACTCTTTCTGTCCATGGAGTCAGAGACAGCTTCACAAAGGAGGCCCCTGACCTAGGGATGACAAAGTTTCCAGCTGGTTTCTCAAGTGGAAATTTTATGCTTTTATGCCTGTACAGGAAGAACTCTTTCTGTGCCTCTCCTTTATGCTACTTAAGTAGCATACTTCATACATACTTTATACTTTCTGGGACCAGATATGGGGCAGGGTGGGGGCGGTTTACCAAGCAATCCTCAGATTTTCTGGATACTGGCAGTTTAGACACTCTTTACCTAGAGATAGCATCAGATCCCACAGGTTAAGGGCTTAGTCCCCACAAGACTGCTCCCCTCAACCCTGACTTCACATGCCAGTCACAAATTCATATTACAGCCTGTGTTTCTAACCAACCACTTTTTATTTTATTTTTTTTATTTATTTTTGACATGGGGGAGTGTGCACACAATGGGGGGAGAGGCAGAGGAGGAGGGAGAAAAAGAATCTTAAAGAAGGCTCACACTCAGCGCAGAGCTCCACATGGGGCTCGATCTCACGACCGTGAGATCACAACCTGAGGTGAAATCAAGAGTGGGTCACTTAACCAGCTGAGCCACCCAGTCACCCCACTAACCAACTACCTTTAGGTTGAAGGTCCCCATGACCCCTTCCATGAATTTAATTCATTTGCTAGAATGGCTCATAGAACTTGGGAAAACACTTCACTTAATATATTACTGGATTACTAGAAAAAGACATAACTCAGGAACAGCCAGATGGGAAAGATGCATAGGGAAAGGTGTGTGGGAAGGGGCATGAGTTCCCATGCTTTCTCCAGGGGTACCATGCTTCCAGCACCTCCACGTGTTCATCAGCTGAGAAGCTCTCTGAATCCCATCTTTTTTGGAATATGTTTATATTGTAGATTATAATTGTGTGTGCCCCTCAATATAGACATATCAATATATATTTGAAAAAAACATAAAAACATAAAAATAATTTTTCTTCATACATTTGGGCTTATTCCAAATTTTCTGGTACATATATACACTCACAATAAAAAACAAGAGAGCTAATTTTTTTTAAAGGAATCTGGAATTTGCAGACACACACTGGCTACAACCTTGGACAACTTATTGATCATGTGACTCCCAGCTTCCTCACATTTATGAATGTAAATTATAAAATTGTGATATGAATTAAAAGAGAAAAGAAAAGTCTATAAAAGATCTAACATAGAAGGCCTGTAAGAAATGTTAGCTCTTGGGATGCCTGGGTGGCTCAGTCAAACGTCCGACTTCAGCTCAGGTCATGATTTTCATGGTTGGTGAGTTAGAGCCCCTCATTGGACTCTGTGCTGACAGCTCAGAGCTTGGAACCTACTTCCAATTCTGTGTCTCCCTCTGTCTCTGTCCCTCCCCTACTCATGCTCTGTCTCTCACTGTCTCTCAAAAAATGAATAAACACTAAAATATTTTTTTAAAGAAATGTTAGTTCTCTTCCCACCTCCCTCTTAATGTTGATCACATGGTAATTTTGATATTATCCAAACTCTACCTTCTTTGACATATCGTCAAACCAGCTGTTTCTTACACTTGAATTTTTTTTTTTTGGAAATAGTTCATCTTTCATTTTCTTAAAACATAGTCTCCATTCTAAGAGATTTACCTCACTCTGAGAGTAGAACCTTGAAAACGAGCCTTACTATGGCAGCACAAACTCCCTCTCACCCACTGCCTGGAAAGGCTGGGCCAGATTCTCTTATTCAATTTCCAGTAAGTATGGAACATTTCCTGTAAGGATGCTTTCAACTCTAAAGTCCTGGCACTGAATTTATATACAATAGTTATGTATACAAGGAACTCATCCCAGCACATGCAAATTGAAGTGTTCAATAAATGTTAGCTTTTAAGTAATATTTAATTACTAGCAGTAGCAATAAATGTCTTCTGGGATCGCAGTAGCCAATTATTCTGGAGTAATAGTGGCCCATTCTCCTGGCTTTCTCATTTTGTGCATTTCATACATTTCTTTCAGTAGAACAAAACACACAAAAAACCTGATTCAAAAAATGGGCTAAACATTTAAATGGACATTTCTCCAAAAGAGATATATGAATGACAAATAGGCACATGAAAAGATGCTCAACATCACTAATCATTAAGGAAATGAAAATCAAAACTACATGAAATATCACCACATACCTATTAGAATAGTCATTCTAGAAATTAAAAACATTTTAAACATATACTTAATAAATAAAATAAACAGAAAATAACAAATATTGTTGAAGATGTGAAGAAATTGGAACCCTTGTGCCTTTCTGGTGAGAATGTTAGTGTACTGTGTACTGTGGAAAACAGCATGGCAATTTCTCAAAAAATTAAACATAAAATTACCATATGATCTAACAATTCCATTTCTGGGTATATACCCCAAAGAATTGAAAGTAGGATCTTGAAGAAATATTTAAATACCCATGTTCATAACAGCATTATTCACAAAAGTCAAACATTAGAAGCAATCTAAATGTCCATACATGGATGAATGAAAAGCAAAATGTAGTTTTTGTCACACAGTGGGATGTTTTTCAGCCCTAAAAAGGAATGAAATTCTGACACATTGTACAACATGGATAAACTTTGGAGATATTATCCTAAGTAAAATAAGCCAGTCACAAAAGGACAAATATTGTATGATTCCATTCACATGAGGAACCTAGTGTAGACAAATTCATAGAAAAAGTAGAAGGGGATAGGGGAAAAGAACTATGGGGAGTTAGTGTTTAATGGTGTAGTTTCATTTTGGGAAGATTAAAAAGTTCTAGACATGGATGTTGGTGATGGCTGCACAACAATGAGAATGTACTTAATACCACTGAACTGGATACTTAAAAATGGTTAAAATGGTAAATTTTATGTTATGTGTATTTTACCGCAATTGTTTTAAAAGTCCTCTATCCTGGGGCACCTGGGTGGCGCAGTCGGTTAAGCGTCCGACTTCAGCCAGGTCGCGATCTCGCGGTCCGGGAGTTCGAGCCCGGCGTCAGG